ATTATTTACAGATAAAAAAAATAAATTTTTGTTACACATCCTACTACTATTAGGATGGATGTATGGATGTTTGTTACTCTTTCACGTAAAACTACTGAATGGATTTGAATGAAACTTTACCACAATATAGCTTATACATCAGAATAACATATAGGCTACAATTTTTGAGGTTTTTAATGTGAGGTCGTAAAAAAACACATTTTTTGCGCTTACATTGCAAACGCTGACTGAATCCTACAAGATAGATCAAAACAATGTACTACAGTATTGTACAACTTAAAAAGGTCTCCAAAAAAGTCCGTGATGGTATATGTTTATCTCTTAGGAATAACCCACAATAACCATTTTTTATCCTTTACTTTGTACGAGAAATAATGGCTTATTTACGAAGCGGTTTTAAGCAATACAGTGTTAATCCTTATCGAATTAAGTATCTTAAATACATTGTGCATTTAATAAAGAAAATATGGCTTTTTACAGCATGTAAATTAAATAATTTCGAAGATATCACAGATTTAAAATGCAGAGTCATAGCAATTTCGGCGATAAATACCGGCAGCGGTGCCAGGCGAACGGGGCGCGGGGGGAGCGGGGTAGGTGCGGTGGGGAAGAAGTGGCTCATCGCTAAGTGCGCGACCCGAACGCGGGCAGACGCGTGAGGGCAGACGTCGTTGACGGTTGTGTCCGTTTTGCGAATTTTCAAGGCACTAGCGATTTGATAAAAACGTATGGTCGCCTACTTTAAGTTATATAGGCCTAAGGTTGTTATTGCCAGGTTTCTTTTTGGTTAGGAGTTACACGTACAAAAAGATACTTCATTTTTACGAATTACTTCATTGATAATTCAATTACTATATAGATAGGTTACTTACAGTTAATTATAACAAATTATATAAATAGGTTAATTATAACGAATTACTTCATTGATAATTGAATTACTATATAGATTAATTAAATAGGCAAGGATTGCATTAAAGTACAATCATAACAATAACTACCGTACTGTATTTTTTGGAAGTATAGAAACAACACGTACTTAAGAATTATGCCGCGAAAGCGTAAGTCTAATCTTTCCCAAAGCTCTAATAAAGCTCGAACTATGAAAGTAGCTAGACTTAACGAGACGTTTCCACAAGCCGAACTGCGAAGGCTTAAACAAGCAGAGCGTGAGGCAGCTCAAAGAGCTGCTGAGACACCAGAGCAGTCCCAAGATAGACGTCGACAGCATGCTGAGTATCTATCATCTCAACGGGCTGCAGAGACACCCGAACAGTCTCGATCTCAACGTCAACCGAACGCTGAATATCTGGCATCTCAACGGGCTTCTGAGACACCCGAACAGTCCCAGGATCGACAGCATTCGATAAAGCTGCATTACGATGAAACTCTTGATTACGAAAGCCACAAGCTTATAAAAATAGAAGCGATGAATAAAGAATGCAGATTTAGTGGTGCTCTTAAATGGAAAGAGGAAGCAGGAGGCATGTGTTGTTCGGGAGGAAAAGTAGTTCTTCCTTCAATAGACGAGCCTGTTGAACCTCTTAAAGAACTTTTTTCAAATGAAACAGATGAGTCTCGCCGTTTTTTAAAAAACATAAAATTTTTCTCACGGTCAGCTCTATGTGGCTTGCTCACGTCTTTCCAAAGCGAAGAATCTGCATGTTTATGCTGAAGGAAAAAGATCGTTAAATGTAGTTTATAGGAGCATACTGCAGTAGCGACCTATAGACCTATGATTAGGGCTCTGCAGTGCTTAGTTACCGTATTTCTTACTTATTACTAGACTAGACGGGACGAACCTGAAGTCTACGCGAACGAAGTCGCGGGCAAAAGCTAGTATGTTATAAAACTAACGAACGCGTTCGGCAATACACGTTGTCTGTGATTCCCCCACTCGCTTCTTTTTTTTTTGTTATAATTGATTTAGGTGCTTCCAGAACCTTTGCCTTATTAAGATCGCGTTTACGATACAAGTACTTTCGGAAGCGTTCGCGGTAAAAGTTATATTTGAGATACAGTTCTCGGAACTCTCAAGACACGCTAAATTGAATTGGGCCACCGATGACCGAACCGCAAATCGATTTTCTTTTCAAAAAGCTGCCCATGCTTCGCTACACATCTTTGCTATATATTGCCACTATATAGAATTTTATTTAAATCAATTGAAACAAGCTATAATCTAGTAAATGAAAAAAAAAGTAATAACATAATGTTTATTATTTCTTATTTAAAAAATATTTAGTACATTCTTGGGTTGCGTTCAGTGGCTTCGGGCTTCTCTTTCATCTCCTCTTGAATCCAATCAAGGAAGGAGTACACCCTCGTGTAAACATCTGGATATCCTTTCGCGCAAGGCATGCCCCAAGAGACGATGCCGACCACCCGGTTATTCTCTACTAGCGGACCACCAGAGTCACCCTAGAAAATCATTGTTTTACTATTTTCCGTATTATAATAACATTTTTTACTTATATCTTTTGAAAAAATTGTGTACATTTTTTGCTTGAAAGATCGGATTATCCTATAACTGTTTTTCTCTTGAATTAGGTTTAATCAACTCAAGCTTATAATTTAACTTACGTGACAAGCGCCTTCGCCTGCTCTAGTCAGGGAACAGATCTGAGTATCATAGACAGGGTTAATTCCATTAAATTTGCTTTGACAATCGTCAACACTCAGTGCAGTCACATTGATCATTTGCAAGACTTCCGGCAAATTGCCTGGGTACTGTAAATACAACCAGTTTTTATGTAATATTCTCACAATCATCGATTGCTTTGTTGATTATCCTAATTAAACATTCGCTGTTAGCTTATTTTGGCTTAAAAACATTTGAAAATCTAAAGACTAAAGCCGAAAATTAATCTTTACGGCTCTTCCATTTTTCAAAGGTAGTTCGTGGCGCGAACAGATTTACAGAAACAGTCTAACATGATCATTCAAATTTCAAATATATGTTTATCTATACATTACTGCTATTAAATATGCTACGTTTATCACTAACAGATAGTCTACCCCATCCAGTCAAGAGTAACTCAGCATTGGCTTCCGTGTTACTTTCCGGCAACAATATCGGTTGCACTCTGTCTGTAAATTCGATATCTTCGGTAACTTTAACCAGACTTATGTCATTTGATATCAACCCGCTGTTGTAACTTTCGTGAACAACCAACCTCTCCACTGAATACTTAGCTCCGCCAGATTTTAAGCTGTTAGTGCCGACGACAACCTTTACAGAACGAGTTGATGATCTGAAATCAAATTGCTTTAATAAGTTGGCCATAAGAAGTTCTAGCTCCAACACACCTCACAGCGAAAATAAAATAATCAGTTTTGGTAGACAAAGTACACGAATTAAGCGAGGGCGATCGGTGAACCATAAAAAAAAACAATGTTTTATTAATACTTCAATTAAAATTACATAATTAAGTTCTTATAACTAGGTCCCGAAACGATCGAACCGATGTGAGGATATCGCCCGAGAAGCCTCGTCCGCTGCTTGCGCTTCCGTTTTATTATCTTGAGCGAGGTGAAGGGCAAGGGGGGTGCAAGAGGGGTGAAATGCACGTGTAGCACACGTCTAAACAATTTTATATGTAAATAAAAATCAATCAAAGAAAACACCCACAAAAATAAAAATAAGGTTTCACTACCACTTACAACTCTTTAGAATGATAGTTTTCATGAAAAGCTTTACATGTAAAAATCTTCGTGGTTAAACTTGCCCACAAATATTAACATATTTTTTTATCTTTTAAAAGTTTTTATTTGAGAAATCGTTCGTAGTTTCAAAGAAAGACGCCGACAAACAATCATGGGGTTAAATAGGTAATTAAAAAGGTAAACACGATGTGCTGTTGATCTATTTTTCCTTTGGACATGCGGAGATCCAAAATAAGAAAACACACACTGCACTTGCATCTAAGGTCGGTCATGGTGTGAATATCGAAATTTCTTACCATCCTTTGGACCAACATTTTTACGAATAATTATAAATGACAGAGAAAGCTATTTTTCTTGTACACAAATTTACCTGTTAATAAGATATATATAATATACAAACCCTACAGTGCAGTGAGCTGCTGTCAATATCCACCTCTTATTCAAAATAGAACCACCGCAGAAGTGCGAATCGTATGCACTCCTCAATGACACTTGGTAGGGAATCCCACCATCTGGCGCATCTTTACCCCCAACAATTCTCGTTACAACAGTATCCTGTGCGGTATCTTCCGGTAGAATTATCCGAATAATAGACCCTGGGTAGTATTTGGCTTTATTAATATTTAAATTCAGTTAAAGTTTAAAATTGGCACAAAATCCAGTACGTATATTTTTTGCCTTTATTTCCCCACGCAAGAAATTTCTCAATAATAATAATATTACTGATAGTGATAGCAGATAAAGTTTCGTTCGATCTTCCTACATAATATTAGAAAATGGTGGTATTTTCGACATTTATTGGCTATCTAATATTTTCAATACATTCTATGCTAATCATTTGAATTGTAGTTAACAACAGTTCCTTAATTATAAACCACTTCCATTTTATTTTTATTGATACCCATAAATATAATAATTTTAGCTAGTATCTGATCACTTAGTTGCCTGTAACTAAAATCGACCGGAGAAATAGATCACAGAAAACATAATGCGATTACAGAAAATGGTATATCGCACACATAAAATACAGACGCAAGATCTATAAAAGCAGAAGACCATGATAGTATTTTTGAATGAGCAAAACACAAATCTATTGACGTAAGAAAAGAAATTAGTTAAACACTTGCCTTTCACTAAACATATCACAAAAAGTAATTGTATTATTTTAACGAACATCTTGGTAATTCTAAATTAAGATATTGAATGCCTGAAATGGGATGTATTTATATGAAATAACAGCGGTATCAAACGGGACAATACTTGAAAACAATCTTGATATTAATTGGTTTTATTCGAGTGGCTAAAGCAAGGTTTCAAAACGCAAGTGCTAAAGGTTACAAAGTTTGCCTTGTCACAAAAGCGTAAAGGAAAATTTCTACTGAACAAAATAAATAGCATATAAAACTTAGTTTTATTTCGATAAGAGGAACAGGACATACCACATACCACCTATGTCATCAATTTTTTCCAACCTAAATAGATTTTTTATTTAAACAATATTTTTGTAATCTTTTCAGTGATAATTTTTTTCACTTAGTTTCACCGGTATCCGAATATGGGAATTCTAGTGTTCCAGGTCCGGTCAAATAAACGTAAAGACAAACAAAAAGCCTTTTTGCTCTTGAATAAATTTTTGTGAACACAGTCTAACAACGCGTAAAATATAGTAAGCTCTCGATATCATTATATAATAATGGCGTTATCTTAAGTACCTGCTACTGAAATAAAGATGTCTTACATTCAAGCTATTGTGTATTAATCCCTGTACTTGAAAATAGTAATTGATATGACCTAACTTTATAGTATTTAACCGACTTACTCGTATGAAGAGAAGAATTAGATATTTTTATAATTAAAAATGCAAGAAAAACAGGACTTTATTACCTATAGAAATGTTGTCAAGAAAATAATAAATAATAAGTTATGGTTTTTGATGCTGACAATTTCGAAACAGAATCAGATAATGTTTGTGTCGACACAGCTTAACATTTTGTAAAAGAAAATTATAAATAGTAAAGTCAGAATTGAATCTATGACTTAATTTTTGAAGATCAGCTTTATCCGAAATGGGTTTTTACTTAATTCCGTTACAATAGCTGTTTGCAGCGCATATGAAATGGGAATATTATTTATGTAAGAGGCTTTAAATTTCCCGCAAATCCTAAAGATTTGACATTATGTGTGACGTGGTGTAACGTCATGGATGTCAATATGGCGGGATTTTTATCGTGAATGTAGTATTGTAAAGAATTTATAAATAATGAATTTACCATTTTTATTAATAAGAACAAAGATTGCCGAAATAACTTAATTTGTTTCTTTAAGGTAGTTCTATTTATATTAAAATTGTTGTAGTAGTTTGTGTAAGTTTAGATTGTTAAATAACAAGAATATTAAATCTTTCAGGTTAAAGCAACAACGCGTTTTATTTCGCGTAAAAAATCATAATCGATGTTCTTATAAAACAACAAATTTTTATTTTGGATAAAATAGATAAATTAAATTTTGAATTTCAACTTATGGGAGGTGGCAAAAGCAATGTTGTTCATCTATCTATAATGACAACGCATGGAAGAATATATATCTTGCCACAGGAACTCCAGATAGCTAGCATGCATACAGAATTGATTAAATGTCCGGCTTATAGTAAAGTAAAAAATAGTCTAAAAAAAAAGACATCAAACAAGAAAGGTGTGGATAACAGTATCAAAAGAAATGAAAAATGTATACATGGATGAAGAGGGAAATCTTCAATTTTCGGACCAATATTTAGAAAAAAATCAATCTCAGTTTGAACCAAAAGAGACTCAAACATTAGAAAAATTATTGGAAAAGATATTACAAATACAAATTCTTTATTCACCAATACATAAGGAAATAAGCCACAAAACTGGTTTTGGATGGATTCTGAGTGGTTAATATGAAAAACCAAATTTTGTGAAACATTTGCAAGCAAAGGACACATCCTGTGGCGTATGCTTCGAAATTTAAATATCAAGATGGTTCTTTGTTTGATTATGCTTTAAAAAAGGAAAGACTTCTTTTAGATATGAGGAGAACGATTGACAAAGGTACCTTAATTGATCTTATTGTTTTTGGTTTACCAGAATATTTAATAAACAAAATTGATAGCGAAGAATTAAGAATCGGAAGGTTGGTTTAATAAATTTAAGGTGAGACAATCATTGCAAAATCGTTGGAGAAGCAGCATCTGCAGACACTGCTGCAGCAGGACGATATCCAGAAGAATTTGCAAACCTAGTAGCTGATGGAGGATACAAACCTGAGCAAGTATTTAATGCAGACGAAACTGCACTGTTTTGGAAGAGAATGCCAAACAATCATTTCTAAAAGCGAAAAGTCCGCTCCTGGATTTAAGGCAGCAAAGGATAGAGTTACACTGCTGCTATGTTCTAATGCATGTGGAGATTGTCTCATTAAGCCACTGATGCTTTACAGATCGTTTAATCCTCGAGCTTTAAAAAATCAAAACAAGGACAACCTGCCAGTATTTTGGCGTGCAAATAAGAAAGCGTGGGTTACAAGCGCTATTTTTTGACTGGTTCCGGAATTGTTTTGTTTCAGAAGTTGAAACTTATTTAAAAAAACAGAATTTAGACTTTAAAACGCTTCTAGTTTTGGACAATGCACCAGGTCATCCTCGCGAACTTGAAACTATGCATCCAAATATAAAAATGTCATTTTAACCACCCAACACGACGGCTTTGCTTCAACCTATGGACCAAGGAATAATCCAGGCCTTTAAGCTCTATAACATTAGACGAACCTTCAAAATCATATTGGATAATATGGAATGTAATTCTGATATGAATGTTATAGATTGCTGGAAGAAATTTGACATAGCAAAATGCATCGCAAACATAAAAGAATCATCGGAAGAACTGAAGCCACACTCATTGAAGTCATGCTGGAAAAAACTGTGGCCTGATCTGACTGCGGAAAATGAAGAATCTGTGCAAGTTCAAAGTTTGACTGCAAACATAGCCGAAATCGCGAATGGAATAGGACGAGATGGGTTCGAACAGATAGAATCAAGTGACATTCAGGAATTGCTTGAATCGCAAGATGAAGATTTGACTGAAACCGACTTGGAGGAAATGTTAAATTGACACTGACGTGACATTTAATTTGAAAAATCTTAGTGAAGGTTTAAGAAAGGCAAATGAGCTTTGCTTTTTTTTTATGAACATTGATCTGTCTATGGAACGAAGTCTTATTTTTAAGAGGCAAATTGCTAATGCGACTGCTGTGTACCAGTCTGATTAAAGGAGCTTTTGAAAAGTGCCAAGCAAGAAAAAATTACAAAATTCTTCAAACCATTGCCTAAGCCTTAAGATAATTAATTAAAATGTTCAAAAACTTCAATTAAATATTTTTTTTATATATTTGTTTTTTTTTATTTTGTCACCTAGGAACGTATGATCCCATATAAATTGCCATTCCGTACTCACGGTTTCTGTATTCGCGGCATATTTATGGAACATATACCCCGCGAATAAAGAGCTTTTACTGTATGTCAAAAATAGGGAGGTTTGCGGTTGTGATTTCATGAAACGAACTTAAGTCGGGACGAGGTGTCAGTGAAATTCGGCGCGGGAACGCTTGAATATTTTAATTTTTTTATGTTTAAAGTAAATTTCAAATTTCTCAATCAAAAATCTCAATTTTAAAATGGCAGACGGAAAGTAAATTCAAAATAGTGTTTTTATAATTTATTTAGTTTAAGTTGGAAATTTAAGTGGCTAAAGTTTTAATTTTTTTTTGCAGTATTCTAGCTCGTCGGGTTTCGGGGCGGCAGCTAAATCTTTTGTGCGAATATTTAATTTCCTACAAATATATAGCCACTGCCTACAACCGAGCCTTGCACGCTAAGGAATATTCTTAACTCGCAAGGTGAAGGAAGGTCTAAAGTAATTATTTAACGTTTGTACATGAATATATTTATATATATATATTATACTGACTTTATCTTATTAGTACTGGGAGGAATTCAAGGCAAAACTAAAGAAAAGGTCCGCTGCTGTCCGAACCCCCCAGGCTAGAACTGGCGGAGGGCCTTCCACTGAGCAACCCTTGTCAGAGATAGAAAAAAAATTCTTTCAAATACTTGGAGAGGATTTTGGAGAAGGGTTGCCAGGTGTTCGGGTGGAACCTTATGCAGAGGTGAGAGAAAATAAGCAGTATCCCTTTTTTTATTATTGATCTTATGGTTGTTGCAAGACATTTGCTACTAATTTGTTGACAGCCTTCAGGAAGTACTGCTGCTGTAGTTAATTTGTGGGAATCTCCAGGTTCCCAAAGTTTTTTTTTATTCCATCCACCCTGGAACCATTGCTCATAGAACCAGATGATGCTCCTCTCCAACAGCCTGCATGTTCTCCTTATCCACCTACACAATGTACTGCAGCAGCAGTATCATCGGAGGCTGGCGTACCGCATTCCACCACCGATGTCGCGGGAAACAGCGAGACGTGACCTCGTGAATTCCTCTCAAATGAGAGCCCAAGCTGCAGTAGCAAGCTCACAAGCTTTATGCAGAATTGCAGAGATTTTAGAAAAAATACACAGCACCTTGCAAAACAAAGGTGTTTTAATTTCAAGTTAGAGATAACAAATGTTATTTTATTTAAAACTACAAACAGATTTATCAATTACAAAATGTAAATATGTACAAACTAAAGTTTTATTAATAAATTATACATTTAAAAAAAGTTTTAAAATTAAAATAAAATAACTAAGTTAATAATATTAATGTACACTCCTATTTACAGATCTATAAATGACGCCTTTCCCAGAGCTGGCAAATAAGGGCAGTCCAAGTAGCCCATCCTTGGTGGAGTTCTATATTGTCGCCGCGTAAAGGCTCTGTCCAGTATTGGAGTCATCATTGTCCTTCTCAATGGATAGCCAGAGTATTGTTACATGTTAGACAATTAAATAATTCATTTCAATTACATCTTTCACTCAAAACAAAACAATACAATAAAAAACCAACAACCAAATACTCTCTGCATTAATCAATTCGTCTAGATGCATTCTGAATGGGTGGTTGGTTGGTGGGTGGTGGTTGGTTGGTTGGTGGGTAGTTTTTGTCATCAAAAACTAATAAATCTGCTATGGGAAACTAAACAAGAACTTAATATAAACCAAAATTATAAATACGTGGGGTTCAAACATGGATTAGTAAAAGCACGGAAGGATGACAATGCAAAAATTCACTCCATAAGAACAAGGACCGATCTATTAGCTCTAAAAAGAACTAAATTACCCACCCACAAGTAACTGTATTTTATTATTTTAACTTAGTACATAGCTACGTTCCCAAGTACTGTTGGATATTGAATTGGCTCAAACTGTTCAGAAATTCAAATAGACACAATCTATCCGGACATCAATCTTACAGTAAGATATTTCCGTTGGCTCTGTTCGAGAGCGATATTGTCACCCAGAAACGACTCGGTAAATGAGGTAAACAAAATTATTTACGAAAAGGAACCGGGTGATATTAAATGTTAGAAATCTGTTGACACCGTCTGCAACATCGAAGATACAGTGCACTACACTGTATCTTTACACTATACCCACAGGAATTTTTAAATTCCGTCAATCCTGCTGGTTTGTTACTGGACTAAAATCAAAAAATAGGAACGCCCCTTTTCTTTTAAACAATTTAAGCTCTCCCAATATGTGTAATGGTACAAGACTATTGATCAAAGAATTAAGAGATAATGTGATTGTAGCAAAAATTATTGCGAGTTCTGGCTATACAGGGTGTAAATGGGACATTATTATTCTCAAAACGTATTGCAATACGCTTCAGGGCTGTACATTTCATACTCGTATTATAAACTTTAAAAAAAATCTGGAAATAAATGAAAATGAAAACCATATTTATATTATTTAGTCCCTAAAATATGTCCTCATAAGTTGTCAGAACTGTCTCATTTACACCCTGTGTACTGTGTGTCAAGAATGTGGTCAAACTTGAGATTTAAAAATAAAGATAGTTCGTATCCGTGAATCAAGCGTTTGATTTTTTAGAGGTTATGGGATGTGCTTTTTAGTTCTATCTCGCAATTTTCTTGGACATTCTCATTGGAATAGACTGTGCATAACTGTAATAACCGGTGGAATATGACTGTGAAAATGGCGACGAGCTATCTTGTCAGTGCGCCTAAAATGAAAGGGCAGGATAATTACAGTTTCAGTGAGCTTTCGTGGCTGAGACTTTCTTAATTCTGGAAGGACTCCCTGATTGCATCAAATCGGAGACTGTACCAGAAGAAATAGGAGCAGCAGGTGACGCGAAAACTAGAGCCAAACTTATTCTTACAATAGATTCGTTGCTGTACCTCGTTGCACATCAAAAGTGTACGAACGACCCATGAACAGTAGAAGAAGTTGAAGAACCTGTTTGATGATTCAGGATTTACAAGGGGAATTAGTTTGCTGAAAAGTTTGATTTCCATTCGACTAGAATGATTCAATGACTACGTGTCATAGATAATTGAAACAAGCCAGAAATTGAGGGTTTCAAGATAAATGATGAGTGCGTTGCATTGCTTGTGTTAGCGGGATTGACAGAAAAATATTTCCCTATGATAATGGCGATCGAGCTTTGCGGCATATCATTGACAGCAGACGCCATTAAAACGAAGTTCTTGGACATGGAAGAAAGCGGAAATGGTGGCGACAACAGAGCCTTCAATTCCAGTGGTGCGTTTACGATTATAAGAAAAATCGGAATGTTGGTAGCACTTCAACCAAAGACAACCTCTACGGAGGCAAGAATTTTCGGGAGCTATTATATGAGGTGCCACCACAATAAAAGCTCACGAAAATTCTAGGAGAACAATTTCGACTGGACGTTAAATTCGTTTTGAATTTTTTCATGGCTTCTCCTACTGTTGAATTAGGTAAGGTTAATGTCACCTTACGAGGTTTTGTGAGCTACGATGTAATAAACGACATTAATAATTTACACGATTTTTATTACATAATATTTGCGACGAGGACGACGCCATCAACATGGAACGAAAATCGATTAAATTTTTGGAATTCAATAAAAAAAAACTGATAATTGGGACACTTACATTGAAAGACTCAAATTTTGTTTTGAAGCAAACGGAGTGGCGGATGATGACGCTAAGAAGGCCAATTTCTAAACGCTGAGCGGTTCACGTGTTTTAGAAATTTTGTTAATATTTATCACACCTAAAAAGGCGAGAGACATTTCTTTCTTGGAAGTAGTAAAAGGATATTGATGAATTTATATTTTTTACATTATAACCCGCGAACGAATAAAATATCTGCATCTTTCGTATCAACGAAACGAGATCAAAAAAAGGCGAATCGAGTGTGGAATACATCGCTCAACAAAGAAAGATAAGCTCCGGGTGTAATTTCGTGGATTTAGAGGGAATGCCGAAGGACATACTGGTGTGTGGAATAATGGATGGAGCGACTTCAATATGCGTTATTGACAAAGAATAACCTCATATACAACATGTGGTAGACATTTTGTTATCATCTGAAAGTGCTGGAAAGGATGTGAAAATGATTAAAAATAACCTCTCTGGTGATAACAGTGAGAGGCAACCTGGTATTTCGGAACCAATGGACATTAATGCAATACAAAATAAGTTTAAAAAGCGTTTCTTTTATCGATGTGGTGACGACTCACATGCTGCGGAATGATGATGTTTATAAATGCAAATTGTAACTTTTGCAAGAAGAAAGGTCGTATAAAAAAAGGTTTGTGTTTCAAAGAAAAGAAACAATAGGAAAGTTAATTGTGTGGCGGATGATGAATATGACTTAAATGGAATATATTTTATGGATATTCATAACCGCATGTTCCCATCACATATCAAATCGATCAGGAGCCAGTTCTTCTATAATTAATGAAAAGACATGGGGTTATTTCACACAAATTACACACTTGGACTGATTTTCCTTTGCAGGTGATAGAATATGAACGCAATCTAATTTAAGAATGTTGGCAACATTTGTTTCTTTAATAAATTAAAAATAATATGCATTTTTTAATCCTCATTGTAACGTGTATTAAAAACAACGGTTCACGTGTAGAAGTGTTCAAACAATCAAGTTATTATTCAAGTATTGTTTTATTTAGGAACCAGTGATAAACCGATCGGTGTGTGAGAAGCCATCTTGTACAGCGGCGCGTGCCGCATTACCGTTACGTTAACCGGTGTTGGCCTGTTTTTCAAAATATACCAAATACTAGTTATAATCCATTTCACATAGATAGACTCGTTGGACGAGATAATAATGCAGGTTGGAAGTTTGCCGTTCAAGCATTTTTTCAACTGGCTTGTGGGGTTGTGTCACTGGAACCAACAGTGATAGTGTGAAGGTATAAGACATCTACAGCTCTAACACAATAAGGACATTAGCAGAAACTTCAAATTTATTGGTATTTCTAGCCACTCGTTCATACATGGCATTTTCATATATTTTGGGTAAGTTCAGACATTTGTTGGGATCTTATTATTCCGCGTGGAAGCTCGGCTCAGTGAGGCAGAGAAGGTATTAAAACACCCACTCTATACTTTCACATATATTATATATATATTGGCACACTGTTTCAATTTAAACATAATTTGGTAAATACATGACTCCATGTCGCTACTAGAAACATTTGGACGCTCTGCGACCAGACGTCGCCGCAATGGTGCGCGATCAGCAGGAGAAGCAGATGGCGAGGAGCCCAATTGGTTCACGAGAATTTAAAGTTGGGGAATTCTCGCGCGAGATTATCGGGGAAAAGGCCTAAGGTGGAACCGAGGCGTCATATCCAAACAAACTGGGCCGGTTTCGTATAAAGTCGACATGGGTAACGGGATCATTTGGCGGATAGATGCCGATCAATAAATTGCTTCAAACAAAAGATTTTCCCTATCGCATTTGAGTTTACGGTCCGGTAAAGATTTCGATCTTGAGGTCGAAGAGGGCCGCGTGGCGGAGACGGGGGAGGACGTGGTCAGTGGGGATGAGCCTATTTCTATAACATCTAACCACTCCCCACCGAGCCTTCACCGTCGCAGGCGAACGATGTACAGTTGAAGCGGGCGAACAAAGCCGTTTCGTATAGTTTAGTTTCATAAGCTTTTTGAGGAGTGTTATGTCGGTGATTAGTTATTTCTTATTTAGTGTAAATTTGTAGGTAGCTGTAACTTTTATGCAATAAATAGTCGTTCTGTGGATCCCGCGTTTGATTGACGTTTCAGTCTGAAACACATCTCGCCGAGATGAAATCTTTTTTCAGTTTGATTTTTTATATGGGTTTGGTGACAAAAGCTTCCAAAACCCTTATTCAAATATTGGGAAATTATTTCCCACTTGACAGTACCGTAATATTTCTTTACTGGTAACTCTAATCAGTACCAAACCAGGAACAAAATAATTTTACACACTTTTTAAATATTTTACTTGGCAACATTTTGGACAAAACTGCGTAATGTCATCGTATGTCAATGTCAAAGTCACAATTTGAATTTTTTGGTGCACAAACCCGGTTCTCGCAGGACTTTCGAAAATTTTTGTAGAAAAAAAATCTGGTAAGTACATAAACAATATATTGATGTAAACTAGACTTATTTTCTGAATGCTTTTTACGGTTTCTGTGCTTTTTGCACTGATATTTCTTTGATTTTATTAGGTTTAATTAGGTGGGAAATAATTTCCCAATGTTCGTTCCTGCTTTGATAAACATCAGTGTCTTTATATATATATAAAATTGTTTGTCAGCTGTAATAATAACGGTATAGGAACTTGTAATACGATAGCGAGTAAGTCAAATTAGTGGCTTTTTGCAAAATTGTGACTGCGTTTATGTGATTTCTATGCTTTATTCCAAACGAAGCCACTTATAAGTTTTAGGAGTTTAATTAAATTGAGACCCCTCCTCACAGAACTCAACTAAGTTTATCAAAGAGAGGCATACAATTCAGAAGTACAATCGATTGATGAGTGTATAGTCAAATTTAAAGGGCGCAGCTCCTTAAAGCAATACATGCCGAAAAAACCCATCAAAAGAGGATTTAAGGTATGGGCAAGATGTGACGCCAAAACTGGGTACTTGTACCAATTGGAAGTGTATTCAGGAAAAGGCGACAGCACCGAAAATGAAGGGTTAGGCTACAATGTTGTCATGAAACTCTGCAGTAACGTACCAAGAAACACTTTAATTGCCTTGGACAACTTTTTTACTAGCTGTAACCTCATGGAGGATCTTTACGATAAAAATATGTATGCAGTGGGAACAGTCAGATGCAACAGAAAGGACTTACCTGATATGATAAAAAAAAACAACCGAAACCATTGCGTTTAGATAAACATCAGTTTTCAGCGGTTACTGCAGAGCCAATCACAGCCATTAAATGGCTTGACACAAAGGAAGTTACTGTCCTGACAACAGCACATCAGCCCTTAGACACAAGGATGATAAAAAGAACCCAAAAGGATGGCTCTAGAGCTGACATTCTCTGCCCGGCTGCAATTGCTTCATACACGCTCAGTATGGGCGGAGTAGATCTTTTTGACCATTTTAGATCGTCATACCCTATAAACCGGAAATCCAGGAAATATTGGATGCGACTATTCTTCTTTCTGTTCGATGCATCTATAATTAATGCCTACATAACGTACAACTACTCCCATGTCCCGACCCTGCATGGCCACCGTGATTTCAGACTACGGTTAGCACGTGCCCTTATAGATAATCACACGACACGAAAAACTCACACACAAACAGATGTAGTTTTTTAAAAAAATAAAAAAGGTGGTAGGTTTGGCGTTCCCGATGAGATTCGGCTGCTAAATGTTGGCATAGACTTGCCCGAAGAAAGTGCCTCTTACAAAAGATGTCGCTTTTGCAGCACAAAGAACAGAGGACAAAAATAGTATGTTCCTCCTGTGGAGTAGCTCTTTGTGCCAAAAACTGTTTCAAAACCTTTCACACAGTTCTTACTCAGTAATGTTATTTTCATATAGTATTTGAAAAGTTCTTAATAAAATATTATTTGTAACATTCTAGTTTCATTTTATTTTTATAATTTTATTCAATCTCTCAATCATGTTATATTGAATTTTTTATATAAAAAAAATAAACAAGTAAAGTAGGAGTAAGTAATATGTATAGAATTTGTAGTAAAAATGTCCCAAAAAAATGTAACCATTCCGGATGATGGGAAATAATTTCCCACTTAATTATATTTTGCTTTTCCATACTCGATAATGGCAAATAATTTCCCACCGTAAAACCCCCATTTCCCCTCTTTTTATAAAAAAATGATGTTTTTTTCGAAATCTACAAAGCCCTTTTACCTAGAAACCATGTTTAATTCATAATTTTATTTAACAAAAAAAAACCATTTGATTAAGGGCTTGCTGATTATTGGTCAACGGATGAAATGATGGACCAAAATGTTCCTCGAACTGTAATGTCTAGAAATAGGTATGAACCGCTGCTACAAATGATCAATTTTTCCAAATATGGCGATAATAATAAATCGTATCATCTTCACCGTATTCAGGACTTGCTAGATATGCTAAATACTAGTTTTCCAACAACATTTTATACCTGGCCAAGACCTATGCGTTGATGAAAGTATAGTTCCCTTTCGAGGACGTATTCCACCAATATAATTAACAAAAACGGTATAAATACGGAATCAAACTTTTCAAACTATGTACATTACCTGGGTATACATACAATATCAACGTATATGCTGGTAAACGAAACGACCAATTGAATGTCAATCCTCACAGAGCGGTAATGAACCTTTGTAAAAACTTACTAAAAAAAGGACATTCATTCTACACAGATAACTGGTACACAAGTGCACCAGTAGCCAGAGAACTACTGCAAAATGAAACTCATCTGATTGGAACTTTAAGAAAAAACAGACGGGATTTCCCTACAGTAGTGGTTTCAACCAAGCTGATAAAAGCCCAGCTCATAGCGAAAGAAAGTGATGATGGGATAACGGTTTTATGGTGGAGAGATAAACGAGATGTGTTGGTAATTTCCACAAAACATTCAACACGTTTTGTTTCCGTTAGTAAAAATAACAAAATCACTATGAAACCATCGATAGTCGTAGATTATAATAGAGCTAGGGGAGCAGTGGATTTAGAAGATCAGGTGGCAGCATACCAAAGCCCATTGAGAAAATCTTTGAAAAGTGAAAAGTGTTACTCTGGTGGCTTTAATACTTTTGCTCTATTTCCTTATTCATTTTAGATTATTATTATTTCATTTAACACACATTTCAAAAATTCACACAGCACCATGTCTAACCCCAAAGATGACGCAAAACCACAGGAGTTGGTTTCTCTCCCGACATTATTACAGTTGATTGCAGTCTATAGATTTATATCATGTGACTATGCATTTAACATAGCGACTATTTAGCAACAGGACTTGTTATTCGTTGTTCCTGTCCTGTTTTACAGAGATCCAAGACAAAAAACATAAAAATTTGATCGAATTAAAAACATATTTAATTCAGAGATTTTTACAAACGAAAACACTAGGTCATTTAAATTTAGAACTCATGACCATATTTAAAAAACCAAACGAGACTGTTACGGAGTATCACCATAGAGTCGACCTTTGTCGTGAAACGTGAAAATATAGATTTGAGAAATAGCATTCAGCTATTAAAGAATGACGTAAGAAGGGTGGGTGTTTGATCCAGAAGAAGAAATATTGCTTTGTAAATATTTTAAAAAAGCTGCACTCCTACATATGGGCTTAAATACAAAACAATGGCGAGAGCTGGCTTATCAATATGCTGTTTCTAAACAGAAAACAAATGTGCCTGCTAACTGGGAAACGCACAAAATGGCAGGAATCGGGTGGCTTCGTAATTTTCGACTTCGTTTCCCGGAATTATCTCTACGCAAACCCGAACCAACAAGCATAGCAAGAGCAACTCGTTTTAATAGGGCAAATGTTGATGATTATTATTATTATTAATAAATAACTTAGTGTCGGTCATGATGCGATACAACTTTCTACCTGGATCAATTTATAATGTTGATGAGACTGGTATCTCAACTGTACATAAGCCAGGGAAGGTATTGGCCTCTTAAGAGATTCGCCAATTAGGTAAGATGACTTCAGAAGAACGAGGAGTAAATATCACAAATCAAGGCTGCATAAATGCAATTATACACGCCGTGCCTCCTGTTTTCATATTCCCACGGGTTTTCTATAAAGATAACATGTTGAAAGAAGCTCCACCTGGATCATTGGGCGTGGCCAATCAGCCAGGGTGGTCAACTGAACCGATTTTTAGAAAGTTTCTTGATCACTTCATCGAAGTCGCCAAACCAACAAGAGATAATCCAATTCTCTTGACAATGGATAACCACGAGACTCATATATACATAGAGATCATTGAGAAGGCTAGACAAAATGGAATAATCTTATTAACTTTGCCTCCACATACAGCCAATCACTTGCAACCACTAGATCGAACAGTTTTTGGACCATTTAAAAACCAATACAATCAAGCAGCCGATAGATGGATGCTCAATCATCCTGGTAAACCGATAACCATTTACGACGTAGCAGAAATAGCTGGTGAAGCATATGGAGTCTCGTTTACACCGAAGAACATTGTAAAGGCCTTTGAGGTTTCAGGTCTTTATCCGTATAATAGAAACATATTTTCAAACGAAGACTTCTTGTGCTCGTATGTAACTGATCGTCCAGACCCAAGCCAACCTAAATCAGTTACAAAATCAAGACAAGCCGGATATTGAAGTCACCGAAACTGATCAAGGACCACCAATAAATAATTTAGGTATACCACAACAACATGACAGTAACCAAAACTACCCAGATCACTTGGATCATAACCAATTATCTGCCGATTCCATCCCAGAACTAGTATCGCCATTCCATAATGTTCAGCTGTTACGAACTCCATTAAAAACTATAAAGGAAAGGATGCAGTTTTCTCAACCCAAATACGAGAAAGAAGAGAAAATTATTGAGGTTATTCTGCTACAAACTACCATTATTATTAATTTGATAATTGTTACTTACCGATTTGTTTGATTACTACTTATCTAAATATTAAAACACAATTTACAAAAATTTGGTTTTATTCTTATCTCAATTTCTCCTCAGGTCTAATACTTTTGCGATTATAGGAAGTAGTATCTTGTTTGGTTCATTTAGGTGATATTTTACTTAGTATGAAGTCACAGTTGACAAGGACATTCGAGTATACTCAAAGAATTTAGTTGGATATAATCGCATTTCGTCGTGTAAGTTTTTATTGATTTCGTGCACCGTGCACAGCATCTCTAGTGTTTAACCTTTTAATTGAACTACAGACTGATACCAGAAAAAGCAAGAAATTAAAAACTTTACTCTGAATGTGATGGGATTAGAATAGTTATACTAAGATATTTATATATCTTAGTAGTAATCATTGCATAATTTTAAATTATAGGAGCTGATGAAGTATACCAGTCTTCTTGGTTCGCTTTCAACTATTTGCAATTTCCGATGGACAAAAGCAAGCCTCGTCCGAGAATTAATACTGTAAGTATCTTCAGCACAACCCTACATTATCACATTTAACTTTAAATATTCAACATTGCCACACAGAGACAGTGTGAGATATCTGGGCATTCACCTAGATCGCCGCTTGACGTGGAACCAGCATATCAAGTCCAAAAGAGTGGAAATAAATATAAGACACAGAAATTTGTATTGGATGCTAGGCCGGAACAGCAGAATAACCTTAGAAAACAAACTTCTCATATACAAGTCTATATTAAAAACCGCTTGGACGTATGGCATACAGGTCTGGGGTAGTGCCAGTAACACAAATATCGCTATATTGCAAAGAGTGCAGAACGCAATTCTAAGGACAATATCAAATGTTCTCTGGTTTATAAGAAATTCAGAGATACACACACAACTTGAGATGAATACTGTGAAAGAGGAAATCCAAGCATCAACAACAAAATACCAGAAGCGCTTGGAAAACCACCCGAATATGCTTGCGGCAAATTTAATAACACGCAGTTATCAAAAACGCCTTAAAAGAAAAGACATTCTATAGGGAATGTCACTTAAATTAAACGAGTAGTGTCTTCACTGGAGGATGCACTCAGCCGGACGAAACCTCACACCCCATCTGCTTATGGTAGAATACTGATTGCAGATTAGCACTGAAGAGAAAAAAAAAAACTTTAATTATTTAGATAAAAAAAAATTAAGTGACGCTATGAGGTTGCCGCAGCGCCATATGCTACGGCTATAGTCTAATTCATATGATCTTGCCATGAACATTTTTCGACTGTATAGCGATATTCAGCAATTTTTTCCCTCATTACCTGGGTCGACAAAGAAGATCTGCATGGGGTATTCGTGATAGGCAATAATGAAGTTATATCGTTATTTTTCAGACGCTATCTTCACATAGTTACTGACCCTTCTACTTCACTATCGATACTTCCAGTCGGTGGACACATTTTAGCATAATTAGAATTTTTTATTAAGAAGTTGTGAAAATGACATATCGTCATCACAATCAGTTGTGCCCTTTCAGGTTGGACTAGCATTGGCTTTCGTTGTTTCTAAAAACACTAGCTGAACATCATCAGATTCGGCTGCTAAAGCGGTAGCTACTGCTTTAACTGCACCTGCTACTGTATTAGACCAGTATCAGCTATTCCCTTAATTATTTGACAGGCAAATTTAGGAATTTATAAACAACATCTATCCTTTATAACGCTGATTGTGGACAATATAAATATTAGCGCGGGTACTCCACTCCGGCATCTACAAATTCCATGTAACAATAATATTTCTTTATATTTCAGCAATAGTACTTCTAAAAAGTGAGTTGAAAAAACAGCGAAAATCGAAAAGTGCAACTGTGGCAAAAAGACATCGGCTTTATGTTTATTTTTATCGGTTGCAATTGTTGACGGAACTACATGAAACAAAACCAGATTCAAATGAAAAATAAAATAAACAGGATGGTTCTACTGCGTCCACATCGCAAACTACAACTAAAAGTGTATAAATGATGCAAATGAAACTAACACGCTATTTAAAATTCTCGCACAAAGATTACAAAACAAAAGAGATGCGAATGATTTGAATTTCTGAGGATGGGGACAGATTTTTTTGTCTTTGTTTTAAAAGGATCCCAGATAGGCGTAAAATGGATGCCAATGTCATGTTTGAAATTATCTGAAAATATGCCATGCCACATTCGTATACTCGAGATTACTATAACAAGATCGGAGTCGTTCGAACAACGCGGCTAGTTTACGAATCAATCTGCAGGACCACTGACAAATAATCAATTTGAATTCACGTCAGATGAATTTGCAGAAATTTCATCGGTATATAATTGAAGTGCGGATTCTGATGCTTCCATATAGTAATCTTTTTACAGAAGTAACTTCTGAATTGTAACTTTTGTTTTGATTTTTCTTCTCGCTGTCTTCTTGGGAATTGTATTTGAAAGTTGTTGTATTTAAGTATTGCTAAAATAACTGATGAAGTATATAATTAGTACAGCTAGTTAATCATGATCTGATTCGAAAAGATTTAATGAAAAAAAATAACCATAAAAATAACTATTGTAGTAATAAATAGTAACTCCATTACAAAATGTGAATTGTTTGCTTTACTTACCTCAATGTTATCACCAATCTTTCTTCATCTGATATAGTATGTTCGAAAACAGATGATTACCGCTGAATTTTACTTTTGACAAATTGAAATAGGTTTGTAGAAACATTTTCTAGACGTTCGTAGATATTTATAAAAAGTGCTTGGATTTTATTTTAACCTAAGGTAAAGACTAAGGAAATCACCAGAATTACATGTAAACGTAAACATCATTGCTTTTTTTACGAGGGCGTCGTCGTTTTTGTTCCTCTGTTGCGATATGCGGCGTATTAAGCTTATATTTCGCATATAGGCAATATCAAAACTGTCACCGTAATTTAATATTTAATAAAAATCTTATTGAGAGCATAAAAAGTACTTAGTAAAAGTTGGCCCTATACGGAGAAAAGAGAGTAAAAGTTGTGAGGATAAATTTAATGAAGCGGATTTTACTTATAAAAATTGTAAAGATATAATGAAAGTAATTAAGTTAAATATTAGAAGTTTTCGGTAAGTGATATTTAATAATTTTTACAAAAATGCTACAGATTTGCAAGAAAACGTGTTTGTTGTTAAGAGGCCTATAGGTGAGTGTTTTAAATATTATAATAACACATCGCGACGTCAGTAAGGCCGGAACAGCTACGTGCCCCAAGAACGAGGACGCGCACAACCTTATCAAACATTTACGCCCACTCGGTGATATTCTAATAATTATTAATTTTACAAATTTACAACTTTGAGTCGCGGTCAACCCCGAGGTTCATATCAAAGAAGATTGGGTTGTGCAATTGTATATGGAGACAGGTGTGAAAGATACAGACTTCCAAATTTATTATAAACTGACTCAAAATCATGTTTAACAGCTTTACAGAATATTAAAAACAATGAACCAATATTTATGGAAATTAAAGAAATTATAATAAAAACTGCTAAAAGAAAATTTTAAGTTCGAATTAATTTGGATTCCAAGCCACCAAGGTATTATCGGTAATGAAAAGGCTGACAGAGAGGCTAAGAATGCAACACTCGAAACTGATATAGATCAATTTATTCAAACAAATCCGCCCGAATTAAAAAAGTATTACAAAACTAAAGTAAAAATTCACTGCTACACCGAATGGAAAACAAACAACATTAGTAAATTATATAATGTGCGACATTCAATCTTTGATAAGGGCCCTTGCAGAAAAGATCAAGTCGTGTTGGAAAGGTTACGCATAGGACACACTAACGTATCCCACATACAACTCATAACAAAAGCTACCCCAAAATGCAAATGGGGTCTGGAATTAAGCGTATCACATTTATTGGTAACTTGTATGTAACGAATAGAACATTGTGTGATTTGCCAAATAAACTAATGGATTGTCTTGGTGAAAAAGGGTATACTCAGACCCTTAAATTCCTTAAAATTGTTGGTTTGTATGGGCTGATTTAACCTAAGGCTGATCCAGCCAATACGGATCCCAATCTTGTTTATTTTAAGATAATTCATAAGTATATAGCACATTGTAACTTAAGTGGTCCTTAATGACATCGCTGTTAAAAAACGACCATAAATAAATAAATTTAAAAAAAAGAGAACAAATTTTTCGACCTTAAAATGTTAACATTTAATAGTAACTCAGTTTCTTTGTCAGTTTTCAATAATTCCCACACTTGGCTGATAGATACCAGAGCTTCTGTTAGCGCGGTGAAATACGAGATAGCAAAACGATGGAATATTCCCATAAGTAATAAGACTATCCAAGTGAGAGGAATCGGCGGAACAACCGTAGTGATATCTACGGTCACTGTTGCTCAAACTATTGTGAATCATTTTATTTTGAGATATAAATTACCTCTTATCATCGTAATTGACCCAAGGGACAGAATTTATGTCATGTGTATTTCAAAAAAACTGTAATTCTATCTTAATTTAACAACTTTTCATCACCAAACAATTGGCTCTCTTATAAATAATCATAAACATTTAGGAGGTTGTTTAAGAATTCAGACGAGTAATGAATCTGATTTTCGGAGTTTATGGGTTCCAGATTGGTGTTTCACTTATAATACTACCCAACATACACAAACTAAATATTCTCCATACGAGCTAGTGTTTGGGAAACAGTGTACGTTGCAAAGTAATCTTACTGAGTCATTAGATCCATTATAAAATTATTCAAATTATCCTTTGGAAAGAAGTATAGAATACAAATATCTCAACAAGATGCTAAAAATTATCTTCAAAAATATTAATAAAGATAGGTATGATGGTTATACCAATCCGATAATATACAATAAGGGTGATTTGATACTTATTAAAAATTAAAATTGTACAAAACTTGATCCCATTTACATTGGTTCTTTTAGTGTGCTTTGTGATAATGAACTAAATGTTCTAATTTCATGTAAATGAAAAGAAAAAACAATACATAAAAATAGAACTAAGCCTTATTGTGTTTTAACTTTTTTGTGTCAATTTTAAGTATTGTGTTTAATGTTTAGTTTTTTTTTTAATATTTAGTTTCTATTATTTTGTTATTCATAACTTAATTAATTAGAATTAGTATTAATTCTTCGAGCAATCGAGGATTTAACATCTCCTGATGACTGATTATTTCTTGCGGACGGCACACGTGGTAGCGAAACTTATAACCTCTTTTCGCTCATGTCGGCCGAACAGCCCGAAAAACAATGATATAAATTGTTGCTTTTTTGTTTAGGTATACAAATAATTATTTTCTAATTTAGAGACATATGGGTGGATGGATAAATAGCGTAGCCATTATTAGTACCTATATACTTAGTAGATACATATGTGATACGTCAAGTATCCTATTCTAGTGTAAGATATTGTTAAGTAATTAGTCTTAATTAAAACCTTAAAGTTGCCTACTTTAATGTTTTAACGCGTCTTTTATTACCGGGACCAAGTCAATGTGGTGAATGTAAAATACATTACCCCACTTCTACACAGTCGGCTAAAAGTCAAACTTGCGACGCCGGGTTTACGCGCTTACGATCCTTTTGTTTAACACAGGTAACTTGATACGACGGCGAATACATGTCCGAATCTTAGTTTATTTTACGTTTACGAGTGCCCTAATTAAGTCTGTTGGATTGGAATCTGACATATCCGAATTTGATAAAGACGATGAAGAACATACTACAGAAATCTAACTCAATTTTCCAAAGACTATAGAAAGTCAACCAATGTTTGAAGCAAGGGTGGACAAATCAAACAATGTGGAAGTTCTGCCTCAAACATCTAATGATCGTCATAAAAATAGAATACTTCGTGACAGATCTAAACTGAAGGCACCAATTAGATATGGTGAATTTGTAGGCACTATTTCAATCAATGATGACCCAACTACTAACGCAGAGGCTATAAATAGTCCACAGAAAACTTTACAATGAGATAACGACACTGAAAGATATCCCAAT